AAAAAAAAATACAGGTAAGAATCACTCTGGAGCTAAAGAAAGACAGGCAAGATTTTGTTTGAGATAAAACTGCTACCGATAAGCCCACCAAGCCCTCCTGCAGATAAAGTCAGTCTTGCCAGTGTGAAGTGGAAAATCAAAAATCAACTTCTCTGTGTTCGAACACCAACCGATGGCCGCACAATCAGACACGTTTCCTGCTGTTCACCAATTTTTCTACTTGTTTCCGATTATAGTTCCGCCGTGGCCATGCCTCTCACTTCCGCCTTTTCTTTTACTCTGTTTACAGTGTCTCATATGAATAGATCAAAATTAGAAGATTGTTGGAGAATCTTATTCAAATGGAACGGCTCGGAAAATATTTCCTACGAGCTAAGTCTAGGAACAAAGGATGCGAAGATTAGTGAAGATTCGAATGGAGTTTTTACAAAGAAAAATAAAAAAGGTGAACAAGTGACGGATCTCTTTATTCATATAAATACTTACATATATATGTATCGATACATGTGTGCATCTCTTATATGTATAACATCTGCACTAATATACATACACACACACGCGCGCACACACACACATATATATATATATATATATATATATATATATATATATATATGATAGATCGTTAAGTCAGTAGCCTAACAAAGTGATTAGTAGAATTTTTATTTGAAATTTTCACTACATCATTTTAGAAAACACGTTATTCCTGAAGAAGTGTTGGATTAAGTGCATTGACAAAGGTAGGCTATTATACTGAAAGATAAGTATTTGTTGCTCAAAATAAATGCTCTTTTCATGATTAGACTATGTACTTATTGATTACCTCTCTTTCCCTATCTATCTATATTATATATATATATATATACACACACATGTATATATACATATATATATAAACTTTCATAGAATTTGATAACAATATATATGCATATATATCTATATTTTATGATTTGATTTGCTATTATCTATCTATCTATCTATCTATATATATATATATATATATATATATATATATATATATATATATATATATATGCACACAAGGGCGTGCTGAAAAGTTCTTGACCCGACCCACTTCAGCAAAATATGACAAAATTTCCAAAATGATTTTAGAGTTTGGCTTCATGTCTTGACGGACCTAGAAATTTTAGGCATGTTTCATATACAAAAGTATTATTGTCTGTAAGCACGTGTATAGATATGAATGAATACGTGCAATAAAATGCATTTTTACTCATATTTTTATATATAATAATATATAAACAAACACACGTCTATAACATTCTATGTCGCTTAATGATATAGATATTTACATCTCTTTGTATATGTACACGTATAGCTATATACATATATATTTGAGTATGTCTATGTGTTTGTTTGTGTGCATGTACAGACTTACATATATAACGTTGTGTATGATGTTATTACAATGAAAATTACATAAGGTTAAAAGTTCAGCCGACAAAAATTAGGAGTGACCCAGCAGGCGAATCGACTCCTGGGAGTTGACGATTGTGGAGCGTAACGATAACTGAATTACACTGCATGACACTTCTGTGATTTGAATAGTGTCATTTTGCCTCTTTGTTCAGCAAGTAATGGCTTTGAGGGGAGGTAACTCACAACAATGCCAGTATTCATTCCTTTTCCAATACAAAGACCTCTTTAAAATCTTATATCAAAATCAAACCTGAGAGCGGGGAGTGACGTGACAATAGTTATATGCGGGTGTATTCGTGAATGAAGATATACGGTTGGATGTGCGTGCTTATGTGGGTGGGTTTAAGTGTATAATCATGTGAGCGACAGAAATGAAAAGACAAGGGGGAACGAAGATGTGTGTATATATATATATATATATATATGAGGAATATTAAAAAGAACGACAAGAGGGTATATTTAAGAGAAAGGCAATGAAAGGGTATCAAGATATAATAACGCTCTTACATATGGACAGTAAAGTTTAACTAATTTGAACTTGTGTTGGGATCGGGTCTTACGTACGTGGCAATAATTGAAGCCAATACGTTTAGTGATTAAGCAATGAATGCAGGATTGCCGAAAAGGTTATCGATTGGCGACTATAGAATCTGTAAATAAAGACCGTGGATTAAAGAAATGCAGAGAATATCATTTCAGTAATGTGCATACAATTTTTAATATTCGTAATTTACGACAGAAAAATGATCTTAAACAAATTAAAAGGGAGAAAGTTCACAGCAATTGATGACGATTTTAAACTCCATTGTGCGTTGAGTGAATTGAACAGAAATTATTATATTTTATTAATACTTCCACAACAAATAAGCAGAATGCCATATATATATATATATATATATATATATATATATATATATATATATATATATATGTGTGTGTGTGTGTGTGTGTGTGTGTATTATAATTATTTTCCTTTTTTAAAAATATGATTCCATCGCAACACAGATATTTCTATGTTTCAAAACTGAAAATAAAGTTGTAAAATTAATTATAAAAATTAAATTTAAAATCCAGAGTTACCGTTCCATTGTCAAGCGATGTTAGGAATAAATTTCTAAGAAATTTACTCAATTTATATTTCTGTGTCGCAGTGGAATCATATTTTTAAAAAAGAAAGTAATTATAATATTATGCTCTACTGTTTTTAAGACTAAAAATAGTTGCTAAAATACCGGATTACTGTTCTTTCTTATTATTTTAACATACGTACATACATACATATACATACATACATATATATATATATATATATATATATATATATATATATATATATATATATATATGTAAGTTTTGTGTATTTAGGCAGCATTTTTTCATTCATGCATCGTTTCATTGAATAATATAGACAAGTGTTGTCTATTTATTTTAAAATAAATAGACAATACTTGTCTATATTATTTAATGAAACATGTATGAATATATATATATAGGCTCTCCCGTCGATATTCGACGTATGAGGGTCAAGCAGATCAGTTCCCAGGAAACCGACACCCGACAACAGCACATGAGATTTGATTATAGTGGTGAAGGTTTCGTGCAAGACCACACTTTTTGAAGGGTCGCATACAGAGACCTGGTGCACTAAGTGCCACAAGGTCCCCAAACGACCCTCCGCAGGTTTTGAATTCAGAGTTGTCCTTTTATACCAGTTGGCATCTAATGCTATAGAACCCAGTCTGTCCTGCTATTTACCCATAGCTGGAGGGGAAGAAGAGGATTCACACCTTTCCCAAGGGTATTTGCACGTAAGTGAATGTAATAGATTCGATACAGATAGATAGATAGATAGATAGATAGATAGATAGATAGATAGATAGATAGATAGATAGATAGACTAAAAAAAAAAAGGATCTGTAATTTATGTTCACTTGTTGTCTCGAGTTTAGTCACTCTCTCAACAACGTGGCGTGGCTTTCCTACAATTATTTTCAAGGTAACTGCTCTGAAGAGCTTTTTTCCCTGGTACCCCGACTACATGAATTTAAACGAGCTACTAGATTGGTATCTAGGTCCCACACGTTTGCTGATGAAATAGCTAAATGCAACCGCCAGTACAGTCTCTTTTCTCGCACTTCCTGCCTGCGGAACTTCCTTCCGCTTACTTTCTTCTCTGATAACTACAATCTTCAAACATTTAAATACAAAATCAATCGCCATCTTCTATCTTCTTGAATCCTTTTCATCGTTTGTCCTTTCCTCAATCATTCCTATACTCAGGTTTTTCTCACACTTTCACTACCTGTAACATTTGCGTACTAGTGGCATTGCTGTTTTTTTTTGGTGAAATGTTCATATATATATATATATATATATATATATATATATATATATATATATATATATATGGGGTACGGGAATTGAAAACTTTGGCCTAATATGAATTTTGGCTGTTTTATGCATCAGTAAAACGCACATTTGCTAAAAAGAATCAATACATTTAATAGATATAAATTATCTATTCTTTTTAATAAGACACACACATATACACATACACACACAAACATATAGTGACGTCTACCTCACGCTGAATATATATATATATATATATATGTGTGTGTGTGTGTGTATAGGAAGCACATGTTCATTCAAGCATTTTTTATTAAATAATATAAACATATGTCTATTTATTTTTCATTTTTTAATTATCTTCAAGATTTTGAGTTAAAATTCATCAAGAAAGGGGCAAAAATACCAAAAATATCCTTTCTTGATGAATTTCAACTTAAGATCAAGAAGATAATTAAAGATCTAGAAAGGATTATTATAAAAATAAATAGATGTAATATGTCTGTATTATTTAATAAAACATACTTGAATATATATAGATTTCCCTGACGATCCGCTTAGGTGAAACCTGGGTAGGTTTGTCTGGCTCACTAGGTTTGACTATATATATATATATATATATATATATATATATATATTTGGAGCATACCTACTGACGATAATGGGTACATCCTCATTCACATAAACACAGTAGTAAATACTGTATGTTGGTCTGTAGTTGGAGGTTCATCTCGAGTTTTGCTCGTCGGACTCTATGCTTCCGGACAGAGAGGATACCCAGATGGGACTGTGTCGAAGGACGGGTTCTAGTCTTGAGAAGCAGCTGCCCGACCTCGTTTTATACAGGGTCTACGGGGAATTTTTGGCCGAACCTATTGGCACGGATACCCCGCATTAACTTTGGCCTTGTGCCAGATCTGCTGGCGTGGGGCTGTTGGTAGAAATCTTGCAATTGTGAAATTCACTTGACTCACTTCTAGCAGTTGACAACTTCTACGCGCCGCTGGCGAATTTTATATGTGTTGTTCTTGTCCTAAGTATTATTACTAACTTCCTTTTGAAGTAGTCTATTCAGTAACCTTCCCTAGGTTACAAAACACACACACACACACACATATATATATATATATATATATATATATATATATATATATATATATATATATATATATATGGTTTAATATATATGACACAGAATGGATAGGTTACCTTCACATCACGTTGAAAATACCGATTCCCGTACGACCAATGAATTTAAGCAATATCGGGCCTGGTCATTCGCTAGATGGGTAACCTTTTGGGAATACCTGGTGCTGTAAGCTTGGCTGTGCGGATGGTGTAATGGATAACGACTCAAAATTGTAAATCAAGGAGCCGAGTTTCAGTTTCAACGGATTTCGCTATATTCACTTACGGCCAAATGACCTTGGGAAAGGTATGAATCCACATCTTCTCCCCTATCTATGGGTTATTTAGTGTAAATTGTTCTTATCCACCCCCGCCCAATTTACAATCTAAAAATATTTTGTAGCTTTAAATAACCTGCGTGTTGATAAGCAGTAGAAAATGAATCAATCAAACGCAAAATATATCGTTTAAAATGATCCATGTTTATAAAGGAAAGAGTACTCAATATCGGAGATAGTGTGTTTATAAATATAGATATTGTCGGCATAGAGATCAATATTGGATGATGATTGACATTTTAACACTTCAATGCTATATTCAGACCAAGTGTAATTACTCCTTCAGCGGGCTGTATATATTGCAAGTTATTTATAAAGTTCACTAGGGGATTAAGAGATGGGGGGGAGAAACCAGACCCTCCCTGTTTCTTTTGTTTAGAGCCAATTTTTAAGTTTTTTTACGGCCATGACCACTAGATAGCGTTTGAAGACTGAATACATAAAGTGTAGTTGTCCGCAAGTGGAAAAAGCATATGTTGCGAACTACAAATTGAAGATGTCAAAATCAAACAAGTAGAGAAGTTTAAATATCTGGAAAGTTTTTTAACAGAGGATGAAAAATGTGACACCGAAATCCGAACGCGTATCGGATTAGTGAAAGATGCCTTTCAGAAGCTAAACATAGTATTAATTAACAAAAAAACAAAAAAACTAATTAACAAAAAACAAAACAAAACAAAAAAACTAATTAACAGAAAAAAAAACTTCGGAAAGAGTGCTGGATTGTTATGTGATATCTATCCTCTTATATGGCAATGAATACTGAACAATCTCATCCAAGACGAAGAGAACATTGGAAGCAACAGAAATATGGTTCTACAGAAGGATATGGGGTTTCAGGTATTCTTTGTGACCATGATGTAGCGTAGTAGGAAATTGTTTACGTGTCTGCATTTGAAAATGAATTCTGATCTTTTGTTTGGGAAATTATCGCTATTTTCTCGTTTAGGCAAAGGTTACTTTGTTTTTAGGTGTTATTGTAAGCTAGTGGTTGTGTTTTTTTAGTTTCTTAATCACCATGTTATTTTTGGTGTGTTGTGTTTTACAGATGCCATATTATACTTTGACAGAGATGAACTGTTAGCATATTTTCTGTTGTTAAATGAAGTTTTGTGTGAGTACATACTCTGTTTCCAAAGACATTCTTTGATTCATATATATATATATATATATATATATATATATATATATATATATATATATATATATATATATATATATATATATTCTGTTCTTAATTTGCATCTTATCGTAGCGTGTGAAAGAAATATTGGCACTTGGTTGAAAGAGCGCTTTGATGCTTGATACTGGCAGCCATCATTCATTGTTAATTTCTATACTCTCCTCTCTTTTTATATATTTTATCATCGCGACACGGAAATTTGTATGTTTCGGAACTGAAAGTTAAAATTTATTGGTTTATTTTCAAGCGATTTTCAATAACTTCAGAAAAATAAATGATTTACTTTTGCAAGCGAAGTATTATTATATTGAAGAGTTTAAGTGGGAGGGTGGAATGAAATTTCAAAATTTTATTATTTCTGTTGTTTAATTTTACGGATCTAAATATAGATCTAATTTGAAGTTGAAAAGTGAAAAAGTATGTTAGAGCTTAGAGTGGGTATGTAATTCATGCTCGTCTTGAATTGTCTGTCATGTATTAGACATATCATCCTCGCTTCCTTTTAATAACATACATAACACACCCTGCAATACAGAGAGGTGTATGTATCCAACAATGGGTAAATTTTGGCATTAATTATTTATTTATTTTTATACTTTGGAACTATCTTAAAGCGGCCTCTAGCATGATTAAATTTATTTTATATATATATATATATTTATATATTTAATTATAATGATCTAAAATTCAATACTTATTCTATTCAATTGTACATTAGAGATAGCAATGTTAAATTTAAAAATTAAGAAATGAATTACACGTTTTTATGTCTCATTATATGTAATCAAATAATAGTTATTTAAATTTAAAGTATAGATTTTTTAATAAGAAATCATATTAATCACGTTTTAATGTAAAGTTAATACAATGCCTACAAAAACAAAGTCCGTTGACGTCCTAATGGACGAATCGTGTCACCTGAAATCTTTTTCGTCATACAGTATTGGTCTTAATATATATAAAAAAAAAATCGATATCGTTATCTTACACACACACACACACACACACACACACACACACACACACACATATATATATATATATATATATATATATATATATATATATATATATATATATATATATGGTCCTAAAAAAAATATTTCGGTTGAGCTTCTGGGAGGAAGTGTCGGTTTGTAAACAGTGACTATTACGGCTAATAATGCAAGACTCTTCGGTAAATCGAATCGAATTCTCTCAGTCACTGTGTGTTTATCTAAAAAAATAAATACGCTTAAATTCACTTTCATCACTGTCGTGAGCCAACAATTTAGTGGTAGCAAATTCAGTCAGGTTTCGATCCTAACTAGAAGAAACTGGGCGTCTACCCACACTGATGAGCTGTGATGCAGCGAAACAGTCTGTGGATGACAATATATGTATATATATTGGTACATGTTTATAGCATTTATTTTTAAAAATGAACTTCCTATCTTTCGTGAAATATGCTATTATATAGATAGCCTTAATTGACTTAGTCCAGATAGCAGTTGGTAAATTTGGTTGTACCACTCTTTTCATTGGAAAGGATTTGTCTAACTTGGTTTCGAATAGTGACTTATAGATCTGGAATGTAATGCACAACAATCTCATCCACTAAAAATAAAACTACGAGTAAAAAAAAATGTCCTATTGTTAATCAAATCATTATTCATCTGTCCGTAATAATAAAGGAACGACATACAAATGAGCATTTCTGGAAACTTTTACCCAACCTATTTTCATAGACTTGCATTCCATTTGCTATATGTCATAAATCTAACAGTAAGAAACATTTTAGATAACCAGTTACGCGAAAGATAATTATAATGCTAATGAACTGACAACCATAAAAAGGACTGACGATATGCTATTAACATCAGACGGTTTTAATAGCGATGAGTCAGAGAACATTCTATTGTTTTGCTTTCTACGCCCGACAATAAATACATCGGATCTTATCCGTCAGCAGGCTAACAATGAAAAATCTTATCTGTTTTTTTCTCAAGCGTTTATAATGACATCTGAGTCCAGTTCATCCATCTGTAACGCGTGTCACCCGTAACAAATTCGTCTCGTCGCAAATATCATCTTTGTTCATATAAACAGGAAATGTCATGCCAGTCAACTGCATGGGTTGCGGTTGTATAGAATTAAAGTGGATGGCTTTGAATTATAAATATTCTCCCTGTTTAGGTTTCTTTCCTTACAAGGCCAAAATGGCGGCCAAGAAAAATGGGATTGAGAAGATTCTGCTCTGCCAGTCGTCCAGGTGGAGATGTCCTGTGCCTTGCTGATCCTCAATCAGAATCTCCATTTAAGAGTGGGCTTGAAAGCGACCACAGACGCTGGTAAGAAATGACTGACATTCCATTTATGTAGAAATTGTAGCTTAATTAAATTATAGGCGTGATCAAGTAACTTAAATTTCTTTATAAATAATAGACGTATATTTTATTCATACTAAATTTCGCATAATTAGGCTCGAGGGTCAGTCAAGGTAGGGGTTCCTGTTAAAATAGTAATAATGAATGAGATGCGTGATAGAATTGAAAATAGAGGTAGTAGGAAGAGACATTGATTAGGATAATCAGGCTAGATAAAGATTGACTCTTGACTTGAAGAATACACTATTGTAATGTTCTGGGAAGCATCCACGTGGAATGCCGTTCCTAAAAGTGGCAGTTATTGAGGAAAAGCAGTTTGAGTAGAATTTACATCTTATATTTGGAACACGTGTGAAATTATTGTTATTCGACTCCGTGGGTCGGCCGAACTATAATGGTCTAATATACAAAGCTTGTGCGTCTGAGAATATGCCTGATCGAAAACCTGACAGGGAATTATTTAGTATTTTATATATATATTACTTTATTATAGTGGATACTTCGTATTTGAAACAGACGTCCTATTTTTATTTATTAAACGGGGTACATTACGTCTATCGGCCTGCATATTTGATAATCACTGAGATTATTTTCTCGAAAGTTTCCGAAAGGAATTTCTAAAGAATTAACAGATTTATGTTTAATCCGACGTTTTAATTCAAACTAGAATGTGATTTCCTTAAAAAGATAAAATATAACCGCTACCGATGTGGCGTTCTTTCTGGCCGACGGGTAAAGCGCGTTTGGCCTAAGCAAATTTCTTCCCCTACACTAGAAAGGGAGACGCCAGTTCGATTCCAACTGGGAACGCATTTTCTTTACTAAGATTTATTTGAATGTGTGGGCCGATAAACGTAATATACCTTTTGTAAATAAATATAAATGGGGCATCTATTTCAAATACGACTTGTTTTTTTTTCACAGTGGTGTTTACCCCTGTACAAGGCCCGCGTTGGGTCAAAACTTATGCTGATACGGTTAACTGAAAACAAGAACAGGTTAAGATTATAGTGATCGGGGAAACATCTTCGTGGGAGTAAAGCGGCCAGTGTGGAACATAAATCTCCCTGAAGGGGATGATGGTGATGGGTTACAATCTGCGTAGCATGGTAAGCCTTCAACCGTGAAGGTTATAACGAATAGAAATAAAGAGTGTAGGTTCATCTGAACACTTTCTATAGAAACAGCGATAGAACAGTGAGAAGCTTGCAACATATAGTCTTTTTTTTAATCATTTCACCCCACACAAGACAGGAATGCCACTGTTACGCAGGCAGTTACAGGGAGGGAAGATGAGAGAAGAGA